ATATTTAGCAGTTTTTAACTTTTAATTTTAAACAGTTTATTGCCTATTTATTATAGTTGCTATTATTATTTTTGTAGTTGTTATTGTATATTTGTAGTTATCATTTATTTTGTAGTTTATATTGGTGTTGTTACTTTTATTGTTTTCATGGTTGTTGTTGCTGCTGTTGTTGTTGTTATTAGTATGATGTTTTTAATTATGACATTAAATAATATAATAATGTTTATTATTATTTATGTTTGTAATTGATGTTATTATTATGATTATTAGTTTTTTGGAAGGTTTTAATTATTAGTTTTTTTATATCAATAAAATTTGCAATCTTTAAAACTCAAATAAAATGTAAATTATTTTTCTCTGTTTATAAAAATCAGAATTGTATTACCATAATTTGTTGTTTTATGTGATAAAACAAAAGTTTTTTTATAATAGTTTGATTATACTGATATGGTCAAGTGTAAATATTTTTTGCTAAATTATTTATATAATAAAAATAAATGTATAAAAAAAATTGTCACAAATTTTTTTTTTATTATTTTCGTAATTATTTTCTTCTTTAATTCTTTATTAGTTTATATTTAAGTCTTGACAAATTTTTTTGATTTTTTGACAACTTGTCTGTTGACAATTGTATAATTTTTTTTGAATCAAAAAATTCTTACAAATTTTCTTGTATTTCAAAAAATATTTTAACTCTCTATGAAATTAAAAAAAAAAACATATATTTAAAAAAAGTTGACAGTGCGCGCCTTTTTTTTTAGAACAAATTAAAAAGATGTTTTTATATATTTTATAATAAAAGATTTATGCTTAAAAGTATGTTTCTTGGTTTTATAATCTATACTCAATTTAATTTTATGCAGTAATTAAGAATTTTAAAAAGGTTTGAATTATAATCTAGGACCTTTGTTAACTGCTTTTTTTTTAATTTTTAAATGATGTGTGTAGTTTTTAAATACTTTATAAAATATAAAATATGTTGTTGTTTTGTTTTTTTTAATTTTTTTTTCCCATTTTCAAGCACAAAAAGTTTTAATGACACTATCAATCAAAGAATTAACATCTCTTTTGAGTATTCTATCTGAGGAAGCCGTATCAGGGTCATCGTCATTTGAAGTTATTGCTAATGCATTGCATCATTATTTTGGTCCAAATGACTACTTCAGAGTTGGAATGGCTCTTGTTAGAATTTTTTTTTTTTTTTCAAGAATTCTTTTTCTTTAATTTATTTTTTCAGCAACCATAACAACCAAAAGTTTTAATTTTTTGTTTTAGCTGATAATGTATCAACAACCTGATTTGCTTCCTGATCCAAACCAGCGTGTGAGTGTTTTGTTTCTTCTTTATGAAATGTACAGGAACCAGCCAGTGGTTAAGAATCCCTTTGTTCGACTTTTTATTCACTTGCTTGACGATAGTAAAAATGCAAATATATCTAAACAAGAGAAAATATTTTTATATCAGTTGCTCACATCTCCAGCACTTACAAGAGAGGTTATTTTTTAATACACTTAAATCACAAATAACATTTCTTGTGATATTTAACACATTCTGCATTATTTGTTTTTATATTTATTACTATATATTCTACTTTGTAATTCTAATAATTTCTAATTTTAAATAAATTTAAATGATGCAATTATTAATATGTATAATATAATGTAAGATAGTTATTATTATATAATATAAAAATGTAACATAATCTGGTTTTTGGTAATACTGTATCATCAATTCAGAAATGGTTGGCCATCTAAGATAAAGCACTGGTTGACTATTTAACCTAAAACATATAACACGTAGTGATTCTCTTTTTTGTTAATTCACCTCCTCAAGGCCTAGAAGGCCACTACAGACAAGGAGGCTACTTTTTTGTGGTTGTAACCCTCTCTCAACTCTATAACTCCAAAACACAAACCTTGAAGAACAATGTATATATCAGGCTTGGTCGGGAAGCGGGAGCAATCGCTCTCAATTGCTGACCACGGAAATAATATTTAGTTGCAAAAAAATGGCCAGATTTTTTAGTCGTTTTGAGAACATTTCAAAAAGCAAAGAAAAATGTGCTAAAGGTTAATTGGACTGACGAGAGACAATTACAAAAAAAAAAAATTAGGAAAAAAAAAATCTTTTAACGCAAAAAAACTTAAAGCAAAATAAATTACGTTTAGAGCAAATATTTTTGAAACATCGCTCTTTTAAAAAAAATTTTATAAAATTAAGCGACGTTTTTTATATAAAGTAACATCTTACGGTTGTTTAAAAAGGAAACAAATGTTCTTTATTTAACAAAGTTTGCAAGTTTTAGTTTTATTTAAGCTAAATTATTTTATAAATAAAAAAGTTAATTTTTTTAATACCTATTTTATGTTTCGCATAGTTTGAAAAGTTTAACATATTTGAAATAATTCTTCTTAATAAGATGAACAAATGAAATAATTAAATCATTGAATTACTATAGAAATTAAATTACCTAGATAGAAATCAACTAAAACGGTTAAAAATACTGTATGATGAGAAAGCGAAACTGCTTTACAATATCGCTGATGATGTTTAGTGAGTGGCTTTTTAATTTTAATAAGTATTTAAAGCAGAGAAAAATATAACGAGTTTTTATAAATGGCAACTGAAGCGAATATAATTAGAGTTAGTAAACCAATATCTAGAAACTTTTCTTTATATCTAATAACTTGGTATATATATTTGTGTTTTGTCGTAACCTCAGGCACGGTGCTTGTTTATCCGCGAGTTACTTTGTATGCATTGTTTGTACTTAGTAACCAGAAACTTCTTATATGTTTGTTACATAACTAGTTTCATTAACTTTGATAATTATTAATAACTTCTTTGAAAGCGCAATTATTTTTGTTAGTCTTTGTTTACAAATTAAATCATAAAAATTGCTTTAAAAGATACATTACGATAAAAAACAGATATACAAAATTACATTTACATAAAGAATACATACTTTTTAAATAAAAAATAAGAATATACTAATAAAATCTATAATTTATAATAAACTTTCAAAATTTTTTACAATTTAAATAATATATATAATACATTAATGAAAAATGTATTATATATATTAAATAATATATATAATACATATAATACATAATAATATTTAAAACATTAATTTTTGTAAACAAATAATAGTTTAAAAGATTTACGGCTTCGCAGATGCCATAGTATTGCAGATGTGGCTCCGAGAATAAACCATAGTATTGATAATATATTCTTAAAACATTTTATGTTAGAAATCTCAAAACATAACAAATTGTGAATAATAGAATTTCTAAAACATTTCAATAGAATACTCTAAAACTTTATTTTGCTTAGTCAGCATATTTTTTGAACCAATAGAATTAGTTTTATATATATATATATATATATATATATATATATATATATATATATATATATATATATATATATATATATATATATATATATATACATATATGTATATATATATATATATATATATATATATATATATATATATATATATATATATATATATATATATATATATATATATATATATATATATATATATATGTATATATATCTTATTACAAAAATTTAATTTTTTAACATTAAAAAGTTAAAAATAAGTGTAATATAATAATATTTACTCTTTGTATTTTGTTGCAAAACCTTTGTTTTGATTAACGGTTTTGCAACACCAATACATTGAGTCAACAAGGCGTTGATATTTTTCTTAAGGTATTGCATACCATGCTTGTTGAATAGCTATCCATAACTGCTGAGCATTAGTTAGATTAGCAGCAGAAACTGCTTTTTTAATGTCTCCCCATAAGTTTTCAATGGGGTTTAGGTTGGGTGACTGAGCAGGCTACTCCATAACCTCAGCCCCATTGACCTGAAACCACTCCTTTGCCATATGACTAGTGTGTTTTGGGTCGTTGTCTTGTTGGAAGACCCATTTTAGTGGCATGTCTTCAACAGCATAAGACAGCATGATATTATTGAATATGTCGACATATATATTTTGTTCCATGATACCATTAATCTTATATATAGGGCCGACACTATTATATGAGAAGCAGCCCCATACCATGACTTTGGCTCCACCATGTTTTACAGACTTAATGGTATATTTTTTATTAAATTCTGTATTAGCTGGACGTCTTACATATTGTCTTAAACCTGTTCCTCCATAAAGAATGATTTTCTATTCATCTGTCTATAATATGTTGCGCCACTTTTTGATGGGCCAATTCAGATGTTGCTTTGCAAACTGCAAACGTTTAGCGGTATGTTTTTTTGTCAACAAAGTAATCTTTTGTGGACTGTATGCATATAAACTGTACTCTCTTAAGCGTCTATGAACAGTTGTGTCACTCACATTAAATTCAAGATCATCTTTGACTTGCTTGACTGATGAAAATGGTTTACTTTTAACATATCTTACTATTCTTCGGTCTTCTTGTGCGGTAGTCCTACTTTTTCCACCTTGTTTTTCAACTTTTGCTTTATAATTTAAGGCATTTGAAATCATCTTTGCTGAACATCCTAGAATATTTTGTATTTATGAGTAAGATCTCTATGATGCTTGAAAATAATGTTGCGTTCTGTTGGTATACAATGACGTCCTTTGCCCACTTTGAAATGTTTAGAAAAAGTTTTTACCGTCAAGCATACACAAATAAATTATAGCGTATATTATAGTTTAAGTTATACTTACTTTTCCTGTAAAAATCAGGAAAATTTCTTTAAACTTTATAAACTAACTTTAAAACCAATACAACCGCTGCTATTTTAATGCATTCTCTCAATTGCAATAATTTTATTAAAAATAATGGTATTCTTGGATGTATTGAATTCTCGTATGCTCAATTTACTTATCTCATTATTGTTATTAATTTACTTATCTCATTATCTCATTAAAAATTAGTCTTTCAACAGAAGAAGAGTAACAATGAAAGTACGAATAATTTTTTAGTACTGCTATTTTCATGCTCACAGCTGCATGTATGTCTGTATGTATGTATGTATGTATGTATGTATGTATGTATGTATGTATGTATGTATGTATGTATGTATGTATGTATGTATGTATGTATGTATGTATGTATGTATATGTTTATTACTTACTGTCATTATAATCTTTTTACAAGTTGTTTTAATTACTGCTAAACTTTTACAAAAATAGCTTTTGAAGAAAACTCCTCGACAAATACTTTCAGCTGATGTGAGTGCATATCCACCAATTGATGTCAGTGGTTTACAAATTTCATTAAATGAAAAGTTAAATGATCTACCAACAAGCACCCGTTATGGTATAAGTACAATTATCCCAGATCCTGATCCAGATAGTAATGGTGTCATCAATATGACAGGTACAGATTTTAAATATACCAGATAATTTTATTAACAATTTAATAAATTTTTTGGCAATTGAAAAATTAAAAAGTTATCAAAATTGTTGATTATTTCAACAAATGTACAAAAACTATCAAATATATTTTTTATAAATTTATTAATGGATTACGTCCATTAATAAATTTTATTTATTGTTATAAAGTATTATGCCTCCACCCTTAAGTTATTTCTTTGAACAGCAGCCTTTTTCGTTAATGCCAAGTCCTTAGGTGATGTATGTATGTATGTATGAAAACATCAGTTTATTACTATCTCAGTAACCAACCTTAATATTTTTTTTTAATAGTTTACTTCCAACCAGACTACAGGCGACCACTACTTAAGGTGGAAAATATAAGGTGAGCCCCTTGAAAACAAAGAAGATAATCAAATAGCATTAGAAAACAAAGAAGATAATTTTTTAAAAATTATGTTCTTTGTTTTATAATGCTCTTAAAAAAAGAGCAACAAAATAGCTTACAAAGAACTTAAAAAGTTGTATTTAAAATTTAAAAATTCTGTAGGTGATATTAAAGATGATGAATTATTTAAAAAATAGAGAAAAAGACTTAACCATGGCAGGGGCTAAAGCTTGACTCTAAAGCTTGTCTATCTACATTTACAATGTTTTTAATGTTTACATGCATTTACAATTAGTAACTTGTCCAAAATTGTACTATCGAAACAATAATATTACATACAAGGATACATAAAAGATTTATAAAGATAGTAGTCACAACCAATTTTCCAGGTTTCTATGAAATTTCAGTAGTATAAGGCAATATGAGAAGAAGTAAATTAGAAGAATCTATGATGAACAAAGAGTTTTGCCATTAATTGATACAGAAGTAGTTACATTAATGCCACAATGATTACCTAAAAACAATTGAGTTTGGATTGAAATTCATTCTGCCACTGCAGAAAATTACAATCAAGGTTGGTTGACTGACTTTTTATTAAGATTGGAATATATGGTTGTGTCATAAGCAAATAATGTCAGGAAAATCATTAATTGAGAAGAAAACCAATATGATACATAGGATAGCCTGTTGTTACCTAAAGGTTACTGAAAATGAAGGTGACTGTTTTTGATCAAGGGTTTGTTTAAATCTGTGATTAAAAATGAAATATATAATAATTTTGAAATTTTTTCTAGCCATATGAATGTGTATGTGACCAACATGCTTGAACTAAAGAGCCTGGCATGCTGGTCATGATATTTGATATGTCAAGAGCATAAACCCTTGTCTAATTGCATACATCTAGCACACAACCTTAAAGTTACTATGATAAATAAATCAGCAGTAAAACAAGAAATTTGTTAAGTTTTTAGACTCAAAGAGAGTTTATTGTTAATTTTGAAATTTGTTAAATTTTTCAGTTAAAAACAATCTTTAACAACAAAATACAGACTGGAATTGAAGCTTATTTCTTCTTACTATTATTATTATAAAAATTACACTTCAACTATTCTACTGCTGTAGAAAAGTTGAATTGAAATTTTAACAAGCTTTTATAATAATGGTAAGGATTACTAGATTTTATGCTACAGTTTTCCTACTATTGTTAGAATATACTATTAATACTATTGTTCAACTTTTCTATAGCTGTAGAAGCTGTAGAAGAGTTTGAGAAATTTAATGATGGAGTAGTTATACAATGTTATACAATGAGAAAAGTGTGGTCATTAGACTCTAACAATAAGTGTTTATTGAATGTGTAACAATGAGTATGAAAAGCGTGGTCATTAGACTCTAACAATAAGTGTTTATTGAATAAAGATCTGTTTTACTAGGATATTACAGAAACTGTGGTCATTAGACTCAAGGGATGAAATAGAGAAAAAGTTCGTAGAAAATAATTATACCTTATTAAATGTTAGACCTTTGTTTAGGATACTATCTAAAAAAATTTAAAATTTTGTTGAGTTTAACATCTGAGATAAAATACAAAATTTTAGTTATAGTGGTTTTAGTGTTTTATTTTTTTTTTTTTTTTGCATCCATTTCATGCAATCATAAAAAGAAGTTTGTTTTTGTGATGGTTGTTCTGGAAAACAATTACTATTGTTCAAAAATACAGCAGCATAAAAAAGAGATAATCAAAGTGAGGTTGGATTAAAACTGACGAAAAGAAATAAGTGACTGCCCAAAACCATCTAAAAGAAAATTAAGAAAGCAATTTCAATCTGTCTTTAAATATTTGTAAAGAATACAATAATAAATCTAATGTAGAAGAATATTGAGACTGTATTTATTTTGACTTTTAGTGATATATAGTGTAATATATTATGGAACTTATACTGTTGTAAAGGCAAATGACACACATAAATGTTTGTTTTAAAAGTCATTACAAAAGAATAAGCTTTTAATAAATATTTTAAAATAGTTATATATATATATATATATATATATATATATATGTATATATATATATATATATATATATATATATATATATATATATATATATATATATATATATATATATATATATATATATATATATATATATATATATATAAAACTTATTCTTTTGCTATTTGCTTAATTGTTTTAATTTGTTTTAGCTGTTCGTCATGTGATTGAATCATTGATTTGCACCTCAGCTAACCCACCGTTTGAAGATACTTTTATGCCAGCATTTATTCATTTAGCCCCTCCATTGCACAAATCATGTGATAACGAGCTCCAATGGTTAAACCCTACTGACAAAAGTTACACCATAGGTATGAAACAACATTTGTATCTATCAGTGTTTGTGATAAAGCAGAAATGATGACTCCACACATGCAAATGGAATATTTAAGACTTCAGGGCACAATAAAAAAAATTCACTAACCCTAATAATAAGAGCATAATAAAATTGCACTTATCTTAAGAATTCAGAGGGGCAAAGATAATACATTATTAACTTCTTCAATTAAACAGTAAAGTTTCTTTTCTTTTTTGTTTGTTTAAAAATTCTATTTTAAATATGAGCTTTTTTAATTAAAGTAATTAATGTCTTATTTTAATTAAAATTCTTTAAATATCCAAATCAATTTTCAAAATATCAAATTTCATTTAGTTTAAATTTAAACATGGGTTTCTGTTTTGTATAAACAATGAATGAAAAGTTTTGAAATCATTACTTCTAATTAATAGAATGTTTATTAGTTTCGAAATGCCATTGTGGAAACATGAATAGAAAATTAGTATGAGAAAATTAAAATTTGATTGAATTTCAAAACATTAATTTTAGTCACTTTTAAATTTTAATGTTGTGATTTTCGTAAAAACGTTGGATTCCTTAGATTTATTGTTGGTAATATTCCACACATTGTAGCTAAAATAAATACTCATATCATTTTTTTCATTAATAGGTGTAGTTAAGGCAATTTACAAATTTTTCAAATTTGTAAATTGCCTTAACTTTTATTTGGAATTAGCATGATTTTATCAGCGTACTGTGTCCAAACAGAAGCTTTATTTTTATAATTTTTATAATGGTATAATTTTTTTTGCTTAAGATATTTTTTAATATTTAAAGAAACTTTTTTTTTTATATATATATAATTTTCAAAACTTTTTTACAACCCGTAATAGTGAATCTAAAGAACACCATTTCGGAGTCTTTAGATCAATTCCGCTCATCGGCGTTAACATGAATTTAGTTAAAATCTTTTGAAAAAGTTTCTTAATTTACTACTGATCCTAGTTCTAATTGGTTCCAGGGTATATTAACTATATATAGGTGTCAAAACACAATATTTCTATCAATTTTCACAAAAAATACTAGAATTCTGACCAAGGAAGAGCTTATAATTAAAGAAAATTGCCAATAAATGATCAGAACAGTTATTATTGTTAAACTATAATGTTCATTTCACCTAAAAAAACGTATTAATTTAAAATCTTATTTAAATTTGAATGAGCAATTGTGATTTTAAGATGATTTTATTTTTTTAAAAAAAGGTCCGGGTTTTATTGCTACAAACATTTATAATTTATGATACTGCAAATTTTATCATTTTAATATTTTTTGTCTTTTCATTTAAAAATTGACGAGTTGTTCATGTTGACGATATTACATTCCCAACAACTAAATTATAACAATTTCAACATCAATTTTAGTAATAAACTAATTGATGAGGATGATGAAATAGACAGTGACAATGAAGACATGGCTTAAAAATTAGCAGCATTTAATTTTAAAAAACAAAAGAATATATCAGGTTACTAACAACATAGTTATTACACCTATAATTAAATTATATAGTCATTAAAATTTTTAGTTAATTTAAGAAATAATTTAATTTTCTTATATCATATTTATATAATAGTTCTCATAATTTTTCAATGATGATATCATATGTAAATTTATTTCAAACTAAATTCAACTTAAATAACAACAATGACAACTAAAAAATTAAATCAAAAAATACTGAAGCTGTTAACCATTATTTAATTAATTTAACAGTGTAATGTTTTTAGTTCTGTTGCCAGGTAACTAAAACACTGCCAATGTCTAACTTGAGTTCTTTTCTATAATTGTTGTTAGTTCAATACTGTTTTAATTTTTTTAAATAAGTGCTTAGTTCCCCTATTACACAACTAATTTGTATTTTTGTATGAATTTGTATGCAAATAATAAATGAGAAGTTCAAAAGTCAAAATGACATTTTTGTCAAACAGGTAGAACAGGTCAAACAGGTATTGTGCTGTGCTGCTAGGCATTACTATTTATTAACAAATGAACACTGTATTAAAAAGCTATTTAAAGCGCTGTGACCAATGTTTTGCAATATTCATCATTTGCAGATTGCTCTTGTGGACTATGTTGAATGAGCACAAAATATCACATTGGGTAATTTTATTTATCATAAGAACTGATCTATGATGCTGTAATGTGTTAACTACAAAAATAGGTAAAAAATGTATTATGAAAGACTATAATGTTGACTAGAATGTTTGTAGGAAATATTATAGATGTCTTAAAGTAAATAAATTAAACAAAAACTTTCTTAAATCGCTTAATCTTAAGCAAATCACTTTGTTTATTTTGTAAACTTTTTGTTACTTGTGATCAGTTAAATGAGTTATAAAGTAAATAGTTAAAATAATAAGTTAATTATTAGATAATTTTATAATACAATAATTTTAAATTTAAATAATGTTTAAATGTTGTAAAAGGAAAATCTAAACAAACAAAAAATATGACATAAAATAAAATAATTTTATTTTTTTCAACAGAGTGGGATGAAATGATGTGTGGTGAAAATTCAATTGAAGTAGAAGTTCGCCAGCTAATGGCAAAGGCATTTAAAGGTGCATTACTTTTACCACAACAGCAGGTGTGCTTATTTTAACAATGTATATGAGTTGTGTTTATTTGTAACTTTATCAAATTTAGTATTCTGTTGTATTTTTTTTTTGTCTGTTTTTTTTTTTTTTCAAATTTGTTCGTGTCAACTTTATGTATGTGTGTTTCTTGCTTTGCAAAAGGGAAATTGGTTATATGTATATAGGTTAACTCTAATATTAGATTTGATTCTGTACTAGAAGCAGTAACGTGGTTCATTAGCTTCTATAATTTAAAAGCACAATAAAAAATTAAAAAAGGTTTTTGTGTTGACAATTTAATTAAAAAACTAAACAAAAAAATTCAACATGTTTACATAATTCATTTGAATTTCTCATCAATTGAAGTATTTAAGAACAAATAATAGAAAGTTTTAAAATAAACTATGCCAAGACTAGAGTTGGAGATGTAGCAAATCTGTTCAAACTTATACTTTTAAATGTCATTATTTGTTTTAACTTGTAGTTTTATTGCTTCAAACTCATAAATTGAAATGGCATTATTTTTTTTTAACTCATAGTTTTATTATTTTACTTATAAGTTTAGATGTCATTCTTTGTTTATTTTAACTGTAGTTTTGTTGCTTCAAAATCATAAGTTTAAATGTCATTCTTTATTTTGATCTTAGTTGAGTTTTTGACTTTATCCTGCTGTTTGAGTTATCCTGGTTATCCTGCTACTGGTAAAATGTAACTCAGTACAACCTGTTTCATGTCTGCAATTTCCAATCATAACCATTACTTTCATATATATTAGCAAATCAATTTTCCAGAAAACAGACATCTATTTACTACTGCTAAAAACCATTGTAAAAAGGTTTTATCTAATGCCAAAGCCTGCTATTCTCAGGTCACGAAATTTCGCATTTCATCTCAAAAATAAGGCTCTCATGACTTCTGGAGAATCGTTAACAGTATTTATAACAAGAACAAATCTGTTATTCCACCTCTCTTGTATGGTTCAGACTTTGTCACCTCACCTAAAGTCAAAGCTGAATTGTTTGTTAAGAACTTTTCAACAATATTATCTCTTGATTCCACTAGTTGCATTCTGCCTAATATAGCCATCAAACAGGTTGATCCATTGCTTGACATTTGTATCACTTCAGCTTCTGTATCTAAAATGATTTCCTGCTTAGACTCTTCTACAGCTTGTGGCCTTGTGGTCCAGACCTGTTATAGTTTTGCAGAAGTGTTCTCCGGAGCTGTCATCTATACTTTCAAAATTATTTAACAACTGCTTATCAGAGTCTTGTTTTCCAGTCTGTTGGAAAGTGCATCTATTATCTCTATTTTAAAAAGTTCTGGAGAGCGATCTGACTTGTCTTACTACCATCTCATTAGTCTTCTTACTATCATAAGCAAGGATTTTGAATCTTTAATTAACAAACATTTAATCTCTCATCTTGAATCTAATAACTTAATTTCTGATTAATTTCTGATTGATTTCGAACTTCTTGTTCTCCTTCTGATTTATTAAAATTATTATTATTTATTATTAGGTTTTATTGTGCATTAGATACAGGGCTGTGGAGTCAGAGTTGCGGAGTTACAACATTTTTAGCAGAGTCAGAGTCACTAAACAAAATCGCGACTCTGACTCCAATAGTAAAACTTCTTGGTATTACATGTGCACATGTATAAAACATTTAATTAACCTTATGTTTATACGAAGCCTCAAAAAACGTTTCATAAATTTGTCAAAAAAAAAATTTTAACTTATCACATAAAATTTTTTAAAGAATTCAAAGAATTTTTCAAAAATTTTGCTTTGGAGTTGGAGTCGGAGTCAGAGTTGTACTAAAAAAATTTTAACAACTGGAGTCGGAGTCATTACTTTTTTTTTACGACTCCACACCCCTGATTAGATAGATGTGAAGAGGCTAAGGCTATTGCTCTTGACATTTCTAAAGCTTTTAATAAAGTTTGGCATGCTGGTCTTCTCCATAAGCTCTTTTCTGACAGTATATCAGGTAATATCTTTGAGGTTATTGAATCTTTCCTTACCAATCGTACTATAAAAGTTGTTCTGATGGGCAGCACTCTTCTTCATATCCTGTAACTTCAGGAATTCCTCAAGATTCTATCTTGGCTCTATACTCTTTTTAATTTACATTAAAAATCTCCCAGAAATTCTCACTTCTAATGTGGCATCGATAATATTACCATTTATTCTCATCTTGATAAAAAGTTAACACTCTCTGATTGCTTTGAGGGGGCATTTGATCTTGAAAAGGATCTCACTTCTGCCACAGTATAGGGCTCTCAGTGGCTGGTAAAGTTTAACTTAGATAAAACTCAATTCTTCACTTCACTCTTACTTCTGATCTTTCTTGAAAACCATAAATCAAATCCTTTGCAAAATTAGCAAAAAATTGCATCTCGTTATTGTTTTTACTCATTATTCTATTTATCTCTATAAATCTCAAATATGCCTTTGTATGGAATACTGTTGCCATATCTGGGGCAGATATCTGGGGTTGAAAGTGAAGATGAAAAAAAAATTTTATTGATTTATGATATATTTTGTGATCTTAATTTATTAGCATGTTAGAATTAGTTTTAACTTGACTCAATATATTTTGCGATCTTAGTTTATAAACATGTTAGAAATACTTTGTGATATACTTTGTGATATTAGTTTATAAACAAGTTAAAATTGTAATCTATAAATCATTCAATGTCATTTTTTGTTGGTTCAATTTTTTATATGACTCATTTTTTTTTTTATGAACTAATAAAAAAAGATTTAGCTGCAAAACTTTTTTGAAACAAGGACAAGTTTATCAAGGCCACAAGGCCATAAGCCAAGGCAGAATTTTTGACTTATAGATCTTTTCTTTTAGTTTTAGGTCCATTTCAAGACTTATTGCCTGTATTTATGTTATGAATCACCAACACTGACGCAAAATGAAATTTAAAAGAAATCAATTTTTTCGTTTAGTTTCATTTTCATTATTAATCATGGTTTTATATCTTGATTCAATTATCTACTTCTATAAATTGCTAGTTTATTGTTATATGTAATATTGTGGTTATTTTTAAGTCCTAATGTTAATAATTAATATATGACTTTTTTTATGCACGTGGTCTAAAAATGTACTTTAAATATAGTTGTACCTCCACTAGTTTCTGAGCTTGAGCCTCTGTCCCATTGAAGGGTTTTATATCTTTTTCTTTTCTACAAATGGTTGGTCCTCAAGTGAGCTTTTATTTTTTGGTTTATCAAGGCTTTTTTGGTTTATCAAGGCTTTTTTGGTTTATCAAGGCTTTTTTGGTTTACTAAAAGCAATCTGATATGATCATTATTTATCTGATCATTAAGCAAAGTCGCATTTTTTCTTTTTAGTTTGTTCCTTCATCTTTTTAGTTGTTCCTTCATGATAAAAAAAAAACTTTTTTTTTATCATGAATATCAAAAAAAAAAAATAGTTTTCTCTTCAGTCTTCATGTTTCCCGGGTTCATACAGTTTCAGTTTTAAAAGATTATTTTAGATTATTGCAGTTATTTCCAGATTTTTTTGTAATTTTTTTATTTTAAATTTTTTATTGTGCATAGTAAAAGCTATATTTTAAATATATGGATTAAATTTTTTGTTTGTTTGTTTAAAAAAAAAAAAGAGTATAATTTAAAAGTTAAGAAGAAAAAAATTTATATTTAATGACTTCAATTGTATATTATTAGCTATATTATTAAGCTACAGGTAAAAACTTGCTGTTATTAAATAAGATATTTAATGGTGTATTATGAACTATATATTAGTATTTATATATTTATGCCTTATTAATTTCAATTGCAGCAGTAGCTTAGCATATTAGCATATTTATATATTATATTTAACATATTAGTATTTTATATAATATATAACATATTAGTAATCTGTATGAAATCAAAAAAATCTATTTATATATTTATAAAGTAAAAGTTTTTTTTTTTAAGCAACTGCTAAAAGAGCTAGAAAAAGATAGCAAACTTGTCTATCATGTTGGTTTAACACCAAGTAAACTTCCGGACCTTGTTGAGAACAATCCATTAGTTGCTATAGAAGTTTTACTTAAAATGATGCAATCGTCTCAAATAACAGAGTAAGCTGTTTATTGTGAAACTATATGTTTACATGAAAAATATTAAAAAAGTGTATTACTTAAAAAATTATTATATGACTGGTTCATGATATTTTGTGATCTTGATTAACTTGATTGACTTAGTGTTCTTAGTTTATGGACATGTTATAAATAGTTTTAACTTGATTCATAATATACTTTGTGATCTTAGTTTATGAACATGCTTGAAATAGTTTAAACTTTGGTTTGGTAGATTTTTTAATTACTGATACTTTCAGAATTTTCTAGTGGTAGGAATGGTGGGGAGATTTTGTAAATTTTGGAGGGGAGAGCTGATAAAAACATTAGGGGTATGATTGTTCTGTAACAAACATAAATTACGTTGAAAATTAGCTCAATTATTGTATCTTCATTTAAGAAAATTCTTGCTAAGTATTTGTTGATGCGTTTTTTTAAGATTATTGCTTTCATTATGCGTATTATGTCGGAAATGAGTGTTTTGTTTGGATTTGATGTATGAGAAAAAAGCTTTTAAAATTTGTTATTGCTTTTTTGCATCCCACAATGCATGTTACTTTTGTTATGTGCTTTACAATACTTGTAGTTTATTACTTAATGTTAATTATGTTAGTGTTAATTAATTGTGTTTATTACTTAATTTTGATTTTTACTTTTTTATTTCTTCTGCTTTTTGATTGATAATTTATTTTGACCTTTTTACTGAGGATTTTTGTAGGTCTTTTTTATTGTGTTTTTAAGATTTGTATAAATTATACTCCAGTTGTTCTGAGTTATATATTTGATTTAGTGCTAAAGTTTCCTTATTAAATTTGTTATAGTTTCCTTTATTGAATAAGCAGTGAGAATATTTTATTAAGTTAATTAGGTGATGATAACATTTTCTAATATATACATCAAACAAAGTTTATAATTTGGTTCATAAAAGTTAGTTTATAAGTTAGATTGTTTTATTAAATGATCATATTTTGATTTATTTTACTTTAATTACAACCTATTTCTTCACTAATCTTTCTCTAACATTCTTTAGGTACTTTTCTGTCCTGGTAAATATGGAAATGTCACTTCATTCCATGGAAGTTGTTAATAGGTTAACAACTGCAGCAGAGGTTCCAAGAGAGTTTATTCACTTTTATATCTCTAACTGTATTAGCAAATGTGAAACCATTAAAGATAAATATATGCAGAGCAGATTGGTTCGTTTGGTAAGATTTGCCAATATTTTATAGTTGTCATAATTAATTTTATAATGCTAGTTTAATTATTTTTATTATGCTAATTTAATTTAATTATTTTAATTTGATATTTTATAATTATGCTAAATACCTAAAGGTAAAAATTGTGATTTTCTGAACAACATTAATTCAGAGATTGTTATCTTGGACCTGTCTTGCTAATTTTTTAATCAATATTTTGTTTATATTCACTGTAAAAAATAGATAAATTGACTCAATACAACCATTTGCAATCAAACATTATGAGCTTTTTAGGCTGATCAAAGTTTGTAAATGTTTATCAAAATGTTGCCTAATCTAGGATTCAGAGATTATAACTTTTTTATAATCTGCCAAATCTAGGATTTGTTTCAGAGATTTTCTAGATTAATCTTTTATAAGTATTATAATTGTTTAAATGGTAGATCAATGGAGGTAGAGGAGTCAAGGTAGAGGAGGAGGTAGAGAAGTTGGTAGTAATAAATGATCTGACACATTTGAGCACAAGATGTCTTTGCTTTATTTGTCTGCCTAAATAGAAAGTTTGCAGCCATTAATAAGTCATCAGAAAATAATATTGCTGACAATGTTGTTATTTTAAAATTTTCAGTTTTAATATCAGTACCATATAATTCAATGCCAATAAAAATGAAAATGTTTTTCATTTATATTTGCAATGCTATATTACTATTCCATAATAATTACAAGAAACATGTTTATGACAATTAATCATTTGCAGCATATTCATTTTTATTTTTTTTAATATCAAAAAAAGAAGTGTCTATAATTATCATAATATCTTTGTAAAACTTACAAACTTCCAATTCTCTTTAAAAACCAAGCATTTTTTTAGCATGGGTCTAGTAATACTACTGTGGTCGTTTTCACTAGTTTTATCAGCAGATGCTTCTATAATAGAGTTTTAAATAAGTGTCTCTCATTCTAATCTCGGAGTTCCTCAATATATGCTATGCAAAAAATATTAATTCACACAACATTATTTGTATATATATTTTAAGTTTTTTATAAAGTATAGATTATAATCAACTAAACAATTATGAAAAATTAGCGAATGATAAGCATCTACACTACAAAGAAAACAGTATTATTAAGATAAGTTATATGTTCAACATAACCAGGCTCAGGTACATTATCATTAAAATTACATGCCATTATACTTGGCTTAAAAGTTATGTAATGCCTAACTTCAACCTATTTCAAAATAAACATACACTAGTATCTAGGCCACACTTTAGTAGAGTTATAAGGTAAGTGATGGTTTGATGTCAAAGGTTTAAGTGGAAATAACTGGAGATAACTGTAATGATGATTGGTTGTTAGGTGTGACAAATTGCTTGCTAAACCAACAGTACTTTTTGAAGCAAAGCTTATACGTTTTTATTTATGAAGATATCTATTCTGAAGTAGTAATTTAATGTTTTAAAAGATACAAAAGCTGCTGGCCAACAATTTTTGTCAGAAGAGCCAAAAAATTTACTTTTTATTACGTTTTATTATCTCAAATATTTATAAAATTTAGCTGCATTAAAATTCTAAGCAGATTTAAATAATGATTGATAACCCAAGTTTTTAGCAGAAAATTTACTAAAAATACACGTACTACTATTGTTTTATTTCAGATAGAGAAATTCAAACAATCAGGTTCTAATTGGTTCAACATTTTTATCAGTAGTATGAGATTTACATGTCTGTATTTTATCTTGAACAACTACGATTTACCACATGCCACCAAGACAGTTCTAAAAATGTAATTTTTGACGGTCGTGTAGAAAATCTCTATTTGATGTATATTTGAATCAAGTAGGTTTGTTGTTTCAAACCCATCTCTATGAAAATGTAAAACCATAACATTAGAATATTTAGAAAACTAGTTGCTTTTATGTGTAAGTATCACTTCACGGAGTGTTATTATGTATAGATATTAGACATGTCCACATGGAATATTACTACGAGCATAGGAAGAATTATGTTTACAGAACCAAAGGACTTTTTACGAACAAAACAATGTAAATTCATACTGAAATGTTTCAAATATTATGTAACTAGTAGGCAAAAAAGTATTAAATATTAAACATGTGAAAAATTAATCACTTGAATGAATTATCAATTTAAATAAGAAAACACTTAGATGAGTAAAGAACACTTTTCAACAGATATTATTACATATTTAAATAAAATAAAAAAAGGAAGTTGTATGACAGTTTATTCTAATACGAATAACTAATATAAAAATAAACATCATTTTGCAAAAAAAAGCTCAACAAATCTGAAAACTGCAGTATGTAGTAATCTTAAGATAAGTTAAGACTTGATTGCAATATTTGTAAAGAATTTGGGGTTACATAATGTAGTCATAAAGTTTTGGCTGCTGTGTTGCGAACGCATTTAAATAAAGCCTACCTGATAAACTCTCACCAAGACTTATCAAGAAAAGTATCAACTCATAAAAAAAACTCTAAATAGCAATGTTTACCTAAATAATAAACTCCTATATCAATGGAAAGTGCTTAAATATCAACGTTTTACTGACTCTTTTTTTACAAATTCAGGAGAGAAAAAATTGCAACTTTTTAATCGGAATTGTGTTTACTATTAAAACTACGTCACTGTTGGAAAAATAAAAAATAAATAATAGGAATTATGAAATACACTGGTAATACTCTCCTGTTTACAATAATCTAAAATGTTTCCTATGAAATAGTTAAAATGCATGAATGGGGTTTGTTATTTTTTAACATATTGATGTGATGCAAACCTTTCTTTGTTAATTAGCAAAAAAAAAAAATAGTGAAGAATGAATTGATTGAGGAATTATTGTTTTCATTTTTGTTAACTAAAGTTTTATAAATTTTTTTGAGTTAATGGTTTGTAGTATTTTATGAGATTCATAAAAAATGTATTTTTGGCATTATTAAAAGTCTATTTGACTACACAATTTCCATATCCGACCATTTACATCGAGTTGTTTTGAATATTTTCTTTTTGATAATAGCTGAGTACATATTCTAAAATTGATTTCTTTTGCTCGTTTGGTTACTGTCTACTATTAATTGTTCTTTTAACTTATCGATTTTTTTAAATATAATATTTTTATTTAGTTTTTATTACTTAGTTTTTTATATTTAATAATTTTAATTTTAATAATTCTATTCTGTTCTTTTTTACTTAGTCTTAATTTTTTGTTTTCAATGCTTTTTTATTTATTTAGGTTTGTGTATTTCTTCAATCTTTAATAAGAATGAAAAGCATAAACATTCAAGATATATCAATCGAAGTAAAAGCTTTCTGCATTGAATTCAGTAATATACGCGAAGCTGCTAGTCTCTTTCGCTTGTTAAGGTCTGTTGAAAGCAATGACGAGATTCCAAAGAGCAATAGCCCCAACAGTTCTTTATTAAAATAAATCAAGTAGTGTGAGTGCTTAAAAAGCATTTAGAAAACAGCTTGAATGCTATATGGCATGAGCAAACCAGGTTGAAAGATACAAATAAAATATAGCTGGGCAATGATGAACTTTAGAAAGATATCGAATCCGTTCTTTCAGGTGCGTTGCAAGCGATAATTGTAATTAAGAGTAGTGCGTACAACGGATAGACTTTAGATTCCTAAATCATAAAATGAAATAGATTTCTTCTGATGTGATAGTTTTTTATTGTTAAATTTTTATTTTTATTCTAATACTGAGACTTATCACAGTATTGGAAGAGTAGCATTAATGAAATATAGACTCTAAATATAATACAATTGAAGAAACTTTTTTCAAGTTAAAGATTAAAAGTGACCTATAGAGTCACTTTTAATTAAGATAAGTTTACATAGTTTAAATAAGACTTCTAATTTAATTTACATAGCTGTTACTTTTTTAAACTCACGTAACACGTGTGTGTACACAAAAAAATATTAAAAATAATTTTTACTAGTATATGTAGTTATCTAATACATACAAAGGTTATTAATTTTTATTTTCAGCTAATTTGCAAACACCGAGCTTGAATGATTTTTTTTTTTTTGTGTGCATGCGATATTTTATAGTACGATAAAAATATTCAAGTTTGCTTGTGAAGCAACGCTTATTCAATCTTGGTTTGCTTTAGATGAGTTACTTTATTTAAACATCAAATCTTATTTCACTAGTCTGCTGGATCTGGATTGATCTTGCAACGCTGCTTCGTTGAAAGCGTTGAAACCAACACTTGTTGGTTCCAACGCTTTCAACTCATAATCATAAAGCATCAGGAGGAGTAAATGGTCATAAACGTTGTCTGTTTTTTGCGATACACAAAAGTTGCAATGCAAAAGCTTAAACTGATCTAAAAGGTCTTTTCACGCACTATAACACTCAAATTATGAAAACTTCTCGACTCTCCCAGAATTTTCTAGTGAAATTTTTTTTAAGATGTTTAATAGAATTGAAGTTACTTTTACGAGATAAGTCTTTAGTGGTATTTAAAATTTTAAAAATTTATGGAACAATTTTGTTTTAAAACAAAATTGTTCCATAAAAATATCCTTTAAATTTTCCAAAATTAACATTCATATATCAACATATTTAAATTAACATTCTTAAACATATTGATTAGGGTACCACAGCAAAAAAAAGTCACTTTGCAATTACAAAGGAAAAGAAACAGGAGGTGAGTTGTTCTACATTTATACATAAAACAAAGAGCATTAAAGACGTTTAGCTTGAATATATTGAGAGCATTTATTTCATATAAAAGTAAAAAAGGTTCTTCAAAACTATTAAGCAAAAATTGCCGGTAGAGATAATCAGATTTACTTATATTAGTGTTATTTTATGCAGTTTTTACATTGTTAATATTGACAATGAATTAAGAAATGATTTAATTGATTTAAGGTAGGGAGAGTGGGTCACCATAAAATATTGTAATTGTGAAAGCATCTTAAGATTTGTGACAACCACTTTCATATAGTGAAACAGTTGCTACTAGAGCAATATTTAAAAAATATATATATCATTTGACATTATTAGACCTGCGAGGGGTTGAACTTTGTGTTTTTTTTCAATGACAAAGTAATATGACAAAATTTTAGGTTTCAAAGCTCATAAATTTTAAACTTATTCTTATTTAATGTATATATCGGTAAGTAAGATTATTTTGTAAACTACAATCCATAAGCTCTTTACTTCATTAAACAAAAGCATTGAAAAAAACAAGTTGATACTTAAAATAAAGCAATGGTTTTCAATTAGAAAGTGTGGGGTACTTTGATACAGCATTTGTGGAGGGGGTCCTAAAACTGTAGAATAATACTCCATTGCGTCATAAACAAATTTAAAAATCAATTCTTTTAATACTTATAGTCAATTTGTATGTAAATAGTCAAGATTTATGTAAATGTAATACAAGAAGATCCCATTCCAAACAAAGCCATTATTTATTGACGCTTAAGAATGACATTTAAAACGATATATTATTTGGACTTTTAAAATGTGATTTGGACCATTGGATGCATTATTTTGGTTATAATTAATAATTTGTTTATATTTCAAGTAACAATCTGCCTTTTCTTTGTTTTATACTTTTTATTTACATTTTTAATGATACTAAATACAATAGAGTGTATCAAGAAACGTCGTGGGTGGTATACTTTAAAACAATTTTTAATTTTATTTTAAATAGTCTCATAAGTTTAACCTATTATATTTTGGTAATTTATAAATTTAATTTTGTAGCTATAAATTTACTCTACAAAATAAACCAATCGCCTGAAGAAAAGGCGTATTAAAAAAATTGTTACGAAGCACAAACCAAAGGTGTGTCATGGTTCCCTACTCTTGCTTATGCTACCACGTTTCTTACTTTGCATAAAATATATTTGAAATTTTAGAGCACAAATTCTTATTCGCCAAGTTGTAGATCTTATATCAAATAATCAAGATTATTGCCAGAAGTTTTTATTAATGCTGATATAATCATTGTAGTTTGGTTGTTTGATAGATTGAAACGATCAACAGCACTGGCTATTTGGTACATTGTGTTATTGTTTAAGGCAGCTCAAAAGTTACATACTTGACTTGATCTGTTGTTTTTTTTGCTTTTTGCTGTATATTTATTTCAAAATCAGGATCAGTTTTAGTTCAACTTCTTTATTTAATTTTAGTGTCAAAATCGTATTAAATCAAAGCAGTGACTACTTCAACCTAATCTTCACATTTCTTTTTTCTCCATTTCTTTGATTTTTTTTTCCCTCTGTTCTTCGCTTTTCTTTTTCATCTATTTTTCTCATAAAATGTCCAACCTGCACTGTTCTCTTTCTGTAATTTTTGCTTCATATGTTTGTCTTTCAAGTTTTGTTTTAGTTTTGGTTTTAAAAGTTGTATCATGTTCATCCAATCATATTCTCCTTTCCTATTTTTGGTCCAAATAAAAATCGATTTCATTTTGTGTTTTTTTTTTTTTTTTTTTTTCTGACAAAAATATTGGTTTCTGTATTTTATCTATGGCATCAGGCGCACTAACGTCAAAAGAAAATCCAATTGCTTTACAAGGTTTTCTCTGTTGTTACCAGGGTCAGTTGTTCTTACGTTATTTTTTATCAAACTCTGCCATTCATAACAAAGTTTTATGACATCAAACATACAATTATGTCTGTATTTAGTTTTTATGCATGTCAAAACATGACGACAGCATCAACTGCAACATAAAGCAATATTTTCATGTATTTCACTGAATTTTAAAAACTTTGTGGATCTTTTCTTAATAATAATACATGTTTCAGAATTTGTTTACAATCAGGGAGTTTGGATGACCTAATCAAAAATCAGTTAACTTTCTTGTCACTGGTTTACTTGGAGTTGCTTTATGCGAGCTTTTTTTTTCAGGTGCCCTTAAAAGTATTTTAATTACTTATCACAGAGTATCGCAAAAAAGCATTTAACAGGAAGTTCACGCCTCCTTCCCAACCAAGGTTGCAAAACTTGTCTATTGGTGGGGTTTGAACCACGCATCTTACGTTTCTGAATAAATTGAAAGGTAACTCTTCACCTAAGGCTATTAAAAATTTATGATAAAATATTTTATGATTGAAGGGTGGTAGCTAACAAAATGAATGAATTCTTTACTTCAGTTGGACCAAATTTAGCATAAAAATTTTAACCATAAACAAAAAAATGATCAGATGTAGTTTTTCTTTAGTATCTTACCTAAATTCTTTTGAATTGTCTTTTGATAAATTTGATAGAGCTTTTAAAATGTCAAAATTAAATAAGGCAATCGGTCCTGATGATATCAATAGAAACATTATTATTGACTCATATGATATCATAAAAAATATCCTTTTATAATATTAAAATTTTCAATACAATTAGGAATTTTTATTGATTTGTTTAAAGCCTTTGGTACGATTGATCATAAATTCTATTCAAAAAACTTAAATATTTTGGAATCTTTGGCAATGTTTTGAAACTATTAAAAAGTTATTTATGCAATAGAAAATATTTGTTCACTTTGAAGTATCATCGAAATTAAAGTTGCTTAATATAACATGCAAAGTTCCTCAAGGATCTGCCCTAGGACCTTTAATATTTCTTATTTAGATAAACTATTTTTATGAAGCATCTAATTTAATGACAATTATGTTTGCTGACGACACAAGTTTCTTTTTGTTCTAATAGTAACATAACGAAACTATTTTAAAGTACATAGAATTAATTAAAATTTCTAAATAGTTTAAATTAAATCAACTTTCTCCTAATATTGAAAAAAAAGGTAAATAGTACTTTAATTCAGTTACAACAGTCTTTTATTGATTGCCATCTAAACTATGCTAATGCGGCTTGAGGTAGTGTTAACAAAAGTAAATTAGACCACTTTATCGTCATCTTATCGCCAACAAAAACATGTTGCACGACTTATTAATTTTAAACATGAATATTCTTAATACATATCAACTTAGTATTTTTTTATCTATTGTGTTTTATGTTTAATTATAAAACTCGCACTTCTCCGATTTCTTTTCATAATTTATATTTTTTTAAAGTTAAAAATAAATTGCGAAATAAAAGTTTTATTCTTCAACCAGTTTTCAAAAATTTTGGTAAATTTTGTATTTCATATAGAAGATTTCATATAGAAGAGCATTTTTATGGAACAAGGTAGTATTAAAACTTATTAATTTTTCTCAATAATGGAACTTTTTTCTTATTTAAAAGAAAATTGAAAAAAAAACTGAAAACATTCTTGTGAAATCTTTCATCTTAACTTATATATACATTTACTTTCTTTACTTTTGTTTTTCTAATACTTGAGACACATCGATATATTATTTTAGGTAAGTCTTATATTTTAAACTAACGAGTCCTTATATCTTAATTATATATATAAATATTTACTTTGTACATTCAAGTTTGTTATGTGAATTTGAATTTGACGGGTTTATGTATTATTTTGTACAACAAATATACGTGGAAATGTATCCATGTATGTGTAAATATATTTATATGTTTGCATGTTTATATATGTGTAAATAATTATACACGCATTTATGGGTGAATATTTATATATCTATTACTATACTATAATTTTTTTATTTAAAATCTGTTTAGGCAGTTCTTGATGACAAGATCTTTTGATCTTCTGCAAGTATCCGCATTTTTATTTTAAAGTTAACTAAATTTGTAATTCTTATTATATGTATTTTATTCGTTCTTTTATTATAAAATTTATTTTGAATAAATAAAATAACAAAAATCTGAAAATATTCTTGACACAGTATTGATAATATAATGGAAAAAACTTCACTTCGCAAAAGTCAGAAAATTATTGGATATGTCATTTTTAACTACATTTTTTTTTTAAAGGTTTGTTAAAACACATGTGGTTAAACTTTATGAATAAAAAAGTCTTCCATTAAAGAAGCTTTAAGTATACCATTATAAAAAATCTTTAAGTATACCATTATAAAAATCTTTTTATCGATGTAGGATTGAAAACACGCAGTTTCAGATTTCCCAATAAATAGATAAATTTTTTTTAATGATGTTATTAATAACAACTTGTATTTTTGGTTTTATTAGTTAAAATTTTGGTATGGCGGAATAGTGTCGCAAAATTATGATTGTCGCAAATTTGATTGTCGAAAATGCAAAAAAAAAAAGGATAGTGTCGCAAATTGTAGCATTATAGATTGTCGAATGACAGAATAAGAAATAATGTCGCAAATGGATTTAATGAATAGTGTCGAAAATACAAAAAAATAATTGTGTTCTAAAGGAGTTTAATGAATAGTAACAAAAATAAAAAAATAATAATGACTATAAATCATTATTTTTTGTTTATTTTCTTTTTGTTTTTTTTTTTTCTGTAAAAGCTGTATACTATAAAGATAAGCAAAACGAGTAAGCAATTGCTGAATTAACTACTTTTATTTTTATTTTTTTTAACTTCGTATATTGGTGTGAACCTCATTGCTTTTATATTGATCAAGTTAATTTAACAGGCATAAAAGAAGTTGTATTTATGTTGCAAAGTATCAGACGTAGTATCAAAGTATCAGACGTAGTATCAAAGTATCAGATGTAGTATCAAAGTATCAGATGTAGTAAAATAATTCAGATCAGGATCATATTTATCATCTAATAAAAAATTATAAAATAAAATTAAAAAAACTATAAATATTAGAGTGAAAGTTTTGTTAGAACTCATTTTGTTTTTATTATTTAAAGGATCTAAATTAGATTTATAAATTAGAATTATAAAAAAATAGCTTTTATAATTCGCCCATACTTTATTTATTATGAGCAACTTTAGCGTACCTTTGCTATCAAATCTTATGACATTTTTTGAAGTTTATGTTACGATTACAGGCGTATGTTCATTATAGGCCTCAATTATATAAGACCTCAGCTCCACCCACACACCCCTTTTAAAAAACTTTAAAGAAATATAAAACAGTTTTGCAAATTATTTTTTCCTAAAAATAAAATTATATAGCATATACGTTTACTTATGTTAGTAATAAACCTAATCAACATTTAATTTTATTAATTGTTAACCATCTTAGGGAGATACTTGGCTTTAAAATTAACAAAAATTTTCCGTAATTTCAAGTACTTTATTTTGGAGTTAACTCGAAATTTTTCTCGTATTATTTTTTCTAAGAGTAGAATAAAATAATAATGATTTAAAATTTAAATATCTAAAAGTTGTTGTGATCGACCAAATTTCTGTTTTGGTACCGATTTCAGTCGAAATTCGATACCGAAATTTCGGTTTCAGTATTTTTTTAAAATTCGGTAACAAGCAAAACTTTGGTTGAAAAATATAACAAAAACAAAAAATATTGTATGATATCAAGTTGTTATTTAATTTAGCAAGCTAGTATTTTTGAAAACTTTTACAAAATATTTTACCATTTATAAATGAAATTTTAAGCCCGTCGTTCACAAATTACTTAACTTTTTACCATCATCTACCAGCTTCTTAAAAATATCAAAACCGCCAATAATCAAATCATTGCAGTTCGCTTAATATTTTGAATCTTGCACTGATAACGTTTTGTTTAAAGAAAACAAATTTGGTTTATATAATTTAAATAGAAAATGAACAAGGATAATTTCGTGGATAACAAGGATAATTTCGTGAATGTAAGGTTTTAGTTATTTTTATACATTTTTCTATCAGTATAAGTTTATTTTTTCTTATTATTATTTATTTATGACTATTTCTTTATCAATATTATATAAGATGAAAAAAAAGTCGTCAAAAAATTAATAACAAGTAAATAAAAAACAAATGTAAATAAACATCAAATGTAAATAAACAACAAATGTAAATAAACAGCAAATGTAAAAAAACAGCAAATGTAAAATTGCATTATTATAGATAAAAAGTTTTAATAAAATTAATTTTGTTTAGGCAAAATTTCTATTTTAATTTTGGTAAAATGTTTGCCTAAATGCCGGTTTCGGTATTGAACTTGTATACGCAAACTAATATAACCGAAATTTTGGGTTATTTTGGTTTGCCGAAATGTTGGGTTCGTTTTCGGTATTGAACTATTATACCCGAAATTTCGGTTTATTTCGGTTTCAGCGTATTTTCTGCTTCAGTTGATCACTAATAGTGTGGTCGAAATTCGTCTATTTTTGCTAAAATTGATAAAATAGAAATTATTGAAAAATAAAATAAAATAAATTGAAAATTAAATATCTTCGTTGAATGTTAATTGGTGTCCCCAATTTTTTTCGGCTTTTTAAAACTTTATAACTGTGTCATAAATCATACAAAAATAGAATCAGGAGTGATATTAAAATTAATTATATTTTTAAAATTATTTACCCACAACTTTCTTAAGTAGCTTTTTGCATTTTCTGTTTGAAATAAAGTCAATTTTTAATATTGATGCTAGTGTACTAAAACAAAACACGATTTATATTTAATCATTATTTCAGTTACAACGTCTCTTGTTGTTATAATTTATTTAGAACCAGATTAAGTTCTAAATTTATTAATGATTAAAATTGTTTCATTTTGGCTAAAGGTATTATTAGTTTAGTAAAACTATAAAGTATATTTGATCAAGTGAATAAGTCCATGCATCTCTATGCTAAAACGAAGCTTTACGACAGAAAAAAATTCGTGACACGCAATAATTTTCGGTGTTTACAACGTCTCTTGTTGTTATAATTTATTTAGAACCAGATTAAGTTCTAAATTTATTAATGATTAAAATTGTTTCATTTTGGCTAAAGGTATTATTAGTTTAGTAAAACTATAAAGTATATTTGATCAAGTGAATAAGTCCATGCATCTCTATGCTAAAACGAAGCTTTACGACAGAAAAAAATTCGTGACACGCAATAATTTTCGGTGTAGCTAATTGTAAGAAAGTCCTAAGGTTCATTTGTTTTATATTTAAAAAATTTTAGTGTTAAAAGAACCTTCTATGGACCTTTCTATGGGCTGTTCTATGAATTTACAACACCTTTTGTAAAATAATTCTTTCTTTCTTTCAGACTGGCGCACGAACCAAAATGGATGACCTGTTAAATTTTATGTGTTATTAGATGTGTATTTGTGAAGCAAGAATGTCAACTTAACAGTATTCTAATTGTAAATAATCATACGATTGAAGGAAAAATAATCTTACGATTTGATTTATTTGATGTCATAATTGATTGATTGATTGCAGTACTGCAACTAAATAAGTTGTTTTATTTACTTCGGTATTACTACAGTTTTACAACTGTAAAATTTCAAATAAATATAGCTGTAAAACAGTTATTTTCTGGCTCCATTTTTTTATTCATTTGACATATGACAAATTAATCTTGTATTCATATTTAAAAACAAAAAATGCGTTTAAATAATCGTAAAGTAGTACATCCAAATATTGTACGCAATTTGATATGAAAATAAACAGAACAAGGGTCTGGTAAATAGATTTTTTTTTAATTTATACAGAATACCTATCATTGTTTAAATCGACTAAAGAGTTCTAAACAGTAGTTCAACCATTTAAGAAGGTAATGTTTCTTATTTGGGTTCGAGTTCTACAGTTGATGTGTTTTTTTATTTGGTTTTTATTCATTTTTCTCATAACATTTATTGTTTATATAGTCTCTTAGACGTTTTTATCTTTTTAACTTTTTTCTATCTAATAGCGCAGGAAAATCATTTAAAAAAAAAAGGAAAAAAATTTTGTAATGAAATGTGTTTAATACGATTTTTTTTTTTTTTTTTTTACTCATAACTTTTTATATTTTTTATTTGTATTTACAACTTTTCTTTTTATTAACTGAATCTTAAAATTATTTAATCTAAGTTTAATGGAAGCCTGTTACGTTCGGTTAAGTTACGGGGTTCGGTGATAAGATTAAATATGCATATAGTATTTTTTTATATATAGTTAAAAGTGTAAATTATTTTAAAGACAAATATATACATCATTTATATACATTCTTAATACAATATTTATGATATTGTATTAAGAATTTTATTTCTTATACAAAAACCTTATAAGCAAAAAATAAAACAATAAAAATAAAAACTAAATAAGCAATAAAAAAATCATATAAGGAATGAATGTTATAAAGATTCTGCTTTGATGAAGTACTTCGGTTTTTGTGATTCTCTATACGTAAACAAAAAAACTTACGGTTTATTTTTTAAAAGAAAACTCAAAGACCTAAATGGTATATTGTCTGGTGATTTTTGGTTACCCTTCTTTCCAATAATGCTTTTATTTCTAAAATAGAGTTTGAAATCGATACCAATAGAGGTCTGAGGCTTAACATTTTATTACTGAAGAAATGGCTAGAATTTTGCAACTTTTGCAAAAAAAAAAGATGGTTGATAAGATAATAAAATGATCATATGAGGATCTTATAATATGTATATTATATATATATATATATATATATATATATATATATATATATATATATATATATATATATATATATATATATATATATATATATATATATATATGTTTTGGTGCGTGTAAAAAACATAAAATTAAAAAACTATTCTTATTTAATTTTGCGCCAATTAACAGTCAATAACGCATTTTAGATCCCTAATTAGATTTTTTTTTAGAATTGAGTGGGTATTGATTCTAACCCTCCTAGGAACCCATTAGTAAAACAGGTTTGCGTACAGGCTGGGTTTACAAACACTCAACAAAAACTCAGACCCGTGTTACGCAGTTCTGCCATTTGAGACACAACTCAGACCCAATTCGTTGAATACTCTAATAATGTCACGTGTACCTTTCAAAAAATCATGTATATGAGTATAATCTATGTAATATTTAGTATGTTGTTAACCTCTGTCAAAAGTAAGAGCTTACTTTTTTTAACTTAGCTAAATGCACTTACGTCATGCATATTCTTAAAACTTTACGCTTTTTAAATATTTAAAGTTGTACTGAGTATACTAAATAATGTGTAATATAAATTACATTGAATAGTTTGTTTTTTTACATTTTTTAAAGGTAAATTAGCTGTTTTTGAAGGTAGATATCATCAAGGAGACGCTCGTAATTTTTTCCTTAAGTACAAGATTACTTTGAATTTATTTTCGTTTTTTTTTTAAAAAAAAAAAAAAGCAAATAACTGTTTAACCTCATTCCAAACAATGTTTAAACTTAAGTAAATAAAGATGTAAACATTTTCTGAAACAAGAATAATATAAGGAGAAATAAACAAAACAAACAAAACGAACAAAACGAAGCAAAAATTAGATACACACGAAAAAAAAGCACGAAAACATTACAGAACAAGCTCAAAATAATTAAGCAACTATTTTATTTATTTTTATTTATTATTTTTAATTAAGCAACTATTAAACTATGCTCAAAATAGAATGGTGTTTGCTATTCAAACAAATGTTAAGTCTCAATTATTAAAACAAATTGTCTCAGTTATTCTAATTATGTTATATATACCAATCTTATTTGTTACTTCTAATCAACATAATTAAACCAAAAAAAAAAAAAAAATGCAATAAATTTTTTTATAAATGTTACCAAAAAGAGATGTTAAAGAAAAATAGGATAAATACCCCATTCCGCGGAAAGAAAACTTAAGGGTAAAAACTTCAACGCACAGTAAAGCAATTAGAGGATTATTTTCCTCCACCTCACCTAATATAAACTATACAAAACTTCGTGTCCTTGTATTTGAAACCTTAAAAACAAGGGGGGCGGGGAAAGTATGATAATAATGTCAAGATCTAAACAAAATAAACGTCAAAGTTTTCAGGTATATATTTATAGCTTATTTTAGTAGAGAAAAACAAAAGGCAAGGTATATATACTCAATTTTAAAATAATTGCTTTCAATATAGATTTTCTGTTAACTTTACCCCAGTACTAGTTGACTTAAAACTTTTTTATGAATTTTACTTTTATTAAAAATAACTATTTAACATTAAAACAAAAAAGTTACAATTACGTAATCGTTCAAAAAAATAATAGGCAAAATTAAAATTAGCTATAAATCTATAAACTTCAAACTAATTTTTGAAAAATTTTAATTTTACAATTAAGTTTGTCACAATTTGCTTATTCATGTGACAAGAACTTCAATCTTCTTCACTTTTTTCTCTCTTAAAGCTGTTACTTTGTTTCCTCACTTTTGAGTCTGTAACTGTAACTTCTTTTTTTGTAACTTCTTTTTGTGTAACTGTTAAAAAAAAGAGCAAGAAAAGATTTTTATATCAGTTTTCTCATAATAATTAAAAAGAAAAAAAAAAATTTTTCTAAAAATTATTTTGTAATCCATTCTAAAGTAAAAGTAAAACAAAGTTTGATTTAATTCAATTTTTTTAGATCATTTTGAAATGTCGCTTTATAGACATAATAAACCAAAAACAACGCCGTTTAGTCATCAAACCATTGGAGTTTTGGATCAAAAAAGTAACGTTAATTTGCAGCCATTAGTATTAACTGAAGATTATTCAGACAGAGAAATGCCCCGGTCTGCCTCAGAATCTGCCATTGCAGCAATGATATCTGAAAAAGAAATTCTTCTTCCACAAAGACAAAAAAATAGCCAATATGCGCCACTAACGGCTTATTTAAAACCAAATAAACACAGATCATCGCTTGCTACGTCTGAGACTCTAGCTCTATATCAAGCTTTGGATCATGATCGCCGTAAAAGTTGTATTACAATGAACGAATTAAAATCTCGTTTAGATAAAAAAGTTATACAGCTTGCAAATTCGCCATCACATACATATAGGACTCAACTAACATTTGAAGAGTGGTTAACTAGAAAAGAGTTTAATAGAAAAAAAAATTTAGTAGACTTAAACGAGATGCAAAAAGGTAAGTTACAACTTTTTAAGCTCAAAAATTCTCCGAATAAAAAAACATATGATCAATGGATGGCTGAAAAAATTGAAAAAATAAAAGAGGAAAAGACAAAACTGCAACAAAATGAAACAGAAAAATCTAAAAATGATAAAAAAGACGCAGAAAAAAAATACACTGACTGGTTAATAAAAAAATACGAGAAAGATACTTACGAACAAATAGTTGTGTGGAAAAAACTTCAAAATATGAACAATAAAGAAAACGATTCAAATCAAAAATAGTTTTTAATATAGAAACTATTGAGTGTTAATAGATTGGGTGATCTTGATATTTTTAATAATCTTTATTACTTAGCATAAGTCAATTAAAAAGTCTACACAAGTTAATATTACCAAAATAAAAACACTGCAATAGGTTTTACTGTTATTACGTTAATTTTAGTCAAAAAACAGACTAAAGCTTGGATGTTCTACGATTTTCTTTAACAATTAAACCGTAGATGAATTCAGTTTTTAGTGTGCGAGAAGAGAAAAGCGTGAGTAACAATACAAACTACGAGATTTTAAACCAAAGTTAGATTGTACGTACTGGATGGATCTTCAGTGACAGCATTTATTTTGTATTATGTTTTTATTTTATGTGGTTTAAAAAGACCTGGTTTTATAAGTGTATTAATAATATATATAGAATACTTAAATTGTTTTATTAAAAATGTTTCTGAATTCTAAACACATTAGTGTTTAGAATTCATTTACTATTAATTTGGCTGAAACTAAATTAATTTAGTTTCAGCTAAATTAATAGTTTATTTACTATTAATTTAGCTGAAACTAAATTAATAGTAAATAAACCTATTTACAAGATAATGCACTAAGAAGCGTTGTGTAACAATTTCAAAAACTTATAACTGTATACTGCAATTATAAGTATTTAAAATCCATCCAATTGTTTTATCTATCTTTATAAAAGTGTTGAAGAGATTGATGAGAATTGATAATTCTTTCAATCTTACGTCTAATTCAAGAATGATATCGTTGAAATATTTATAATCCACAGTAATTCACAAATGCAAATTAAACCCAAAACCAATATTATTCAAACAGCCACAAATCAAAAAAAAGTAAAATTTGCTGACGGCATAAATTAACAAACATAAACATGGCATAAATCAACAAACGTAAACAAAGCGAATAGTTTTATGAAATTTTAAAAAATTCAACCAGTCAGCCAATAAAAAATTTATCACCGGAAACAGATAAAATACATTTTTTAAATCCATAAATAATATTTTTGTCAATTTCAAATTAAAAATAGGCTTTTTAGAAAAAACAAATTAGCTGAAATTGTTGATATTTATTATTTTACTATTTATCAAACTATACAGTATTGGCACTATCCTCATGGCCGTCGAGAGCCGTCATGCCGCCTGGGACAGCAACCCTGATTTTTATTTTAGGTGCCTTCTCTTTATTTAGCGCCCTTAGGAGCCTAGGATATCTGCCGCCCGGGACAAACTGCTCCTTTAGTCCCTTCCTTCTCGGCGGCACTGACTATCCTACACATATGGAACTACCATACACATATGAATACAAATAAATATTATACCGATTCTAATAACTATCAAATAATCTCGTTATCATCGACAAGTTAAGAAATGTAAAACTAATCAAAAAGGACAAACAAGTTACTTAAGTTCACATAACTTTGTTACTTAGGAACAATAGAAATTCACTAAAGATAAATTAATACATATTTCTTGAAAAATTAATGTGTTACCGTATGTACCATTTTCTTAACAGTTCTCGGTGGTTATTTGGATTTCGTTTACTGCAATCCAAATAACTCTACTTCCCATAAGCATTATACTTATAAAAGTATGGTGCTTTTTTTTTGTTTAATATGTAAGTGGGGATTCCTTTACAACGGGGATGGATGATCAGACTTTTGTCTTCTGCCTGCTCCCGTTAAATCTTAACTAAAAAAGGTGTTGTAAATATTATGAAGATGAAGAAGTATTTACCCTATTATCAATTTCTCCTTCAGAGACCGTTGAAAAATTTGAAGGGGAAGATAGCTTTCTTGAACTCAAGTGTTTATTAACGCTGTTGGTAGCATGGTCCATCTAAAAAAGAATTGTTTTTACAGTTTTGGAATGAAATTATGAATATAAAATTGAATAAAAAATAAAGCTGTTAACCTACACCGTGACTACTTGGTCGGACGTAGAGTTATCAAATGCCTTTTTTTTTCGAACTTAATCAAAGCTCTTCCAGTGTACGTTTATTCTTGTATTCTTTACAACTTTTAAAGATATTAAAGAGAAAAAGAATTAAATGTTATTTCACAATATCAATTTAATTGGAATGAATGTATTGAGAAAAACTATTTGAAAAGTGTTGGAATAAGAATAACTTAACTAGTTTATGTAGCTTAACTTTGATAATGTTTTAAAACAAGCCTTTTGTTCGAAAAAGTGTTACGTAATTCGAATTTTAACTAAATTTAAATTAGAGCCATTATAATCAGTTCTTCCACGCAGAAAAAATAGAAATCGAGAAATAGGGTACTGTTGCGATTCTAAAAAATAGATTTCATAAACTTTTCGCAAAACTTTCTGGGATTAAAATGCGGACAATCTGTACAAAATGCAAGAAGACTTAATACTATTTCTGAAGAAAACACAAAAGTGCAATTAAACAATGTTATTAGGATTTATTCTCATCAGATTCTTGTTACCTTATATGTTTGCTAGTTCATGCAATTTAAAAAAAATAGGAATACTAAAAATTCGATAACAAACTTGGAAAAAAGGATATAAGAAAGATAAAGCTTTCGAAATTATATATTTAAACTAAAAGTTGGCGGACGTGTAAACGGCACATCCCTCTCCCATAAATTCAGTAAATACCGACAATTTACGAGTTTACTTGCAGTACAGAGTTATTTACCAATGCGATTTAGGTAGTAATGTTAAGTTAATGTAAAATAGGTAGTAAAAGGAAAAAAATCGACAAAAACAAAACACTGTTTTGTTAACTTTATATATTGTTCTATACTAAATAAAATATTGCAAAATCGAAGATTTAAAAAAAAGTTATCTAATAAACTTACAACTAAACAAATGTTGCATTTCTTTATCACAAATATGCGAGATAAAACAATTTATTTACAAAATGGAACTTGTTTACAAATTAATTTTATTATTACTACTAGTAGTATATTAAAGCTTGCTTAAAGCTAAAAGGACATATTCACATATATACATATATACATATATATATATATATATATATATATATATATATATATATATATATATATATATATATATATATATATATATATATATATATATATATATATATATATATATTATATATATATATATATATATATATATATATATATCAATAAAAAAAAATATATATATATATATATCAATAAAAAAAAAAAAATATATATATATATATATATATATCAATAAAAAAAATTTTGTTAAGTGGTTTTCTACTAATTTATGTATATATATATATATATATATATATATATATATATATATATATATTATATATATATATATATATACATCAATAAAAAAAATTTTGTTAAGTGATTTTCTACTAATTTATGTATATATATATATATATATATATATATATAGAGAGAGAGAGAGAGAGAGAGAGATAGATAAATAGATATATATATATATATATATATATATATATATATATATATATATATATATATATATATATATATATATATATATATATATATATATATATATATATATATATATATATATATATATATATATATATATATATATATATATATATAACTTCATCGTTCTGCCTAAATGATATTTATTTAAAAAAAATAAATCTATATTAAAGATAGTATACAAACCTACAAACGGGTATCTTCTCTAATAAAATAAAATAATTTCAGTAAATAAAATAAAACAGCTTATTTTGTTAGAGAGGATATTTGTAATGTATATGTTGTAAAAAAATTGTAAAGTTTTGCCAAAGGTTTTTAGTTTTAAAAGTGAAATACTCTCTGTATATTACTTCATCAAGTTGACTCCACTTCAAATCACCTTGTGACCCGCAAACAAATTTCAATCTTCGTTTTATTCGACTCCAAAAAGCCTCGACAGGGTTTGATGTTGCTTGTGTTACAGGATCAGCAAAATTAGTTGTGTGATTTACTGTGAGATTTTTTTTTTTATAATTTTGTTTTAGTTTATATATATTTGCTGTTTATTTAATAAAAAAATATAATTACAAAGAAACATTTACATACAAAAAAAAGTTGATTTATAAAAACAGGCAGGGACTCAAAGAAGATACGGATGACTAAAGTCACCACAATCTTTTTATAGAGCCCTTATGTGGGCTTTACAAGTTTTAAATAGAATAAGATTGTTAAAAATACAACTGTACAATTCCAATATAATAAAAAGATATAAAAAAACAACTTTCATAAATATTTACATTAAAAGAAAAGAAATAGTATTAATATAATTTTTTTTTCAAACTAAGAATAATGGAATTCGATGTTCATTTAGAAAAATTGCAAAATTATTTATAATGTTTAAAAATTTCATTTTTTATTAGAAACTTAAAGGAGTTTAATGATTTTACCGTATTTAAATGTTTGGTTTTTTTTTTATGTGTTACGTAGTTTCCGTCCTTTTATATATACGGTATGCTTTTCCATATTCAGAATACTTGCTCTTAATTCTAGGCAATTTATAAGTATTCCATGATGGTTAAAACCTATGAGATGATTAAAGTCTATGTTATTCAAATCATTGTAGGCAGCCCATTGATCTGAATGAATTGTAGACCCAACAGCCACCCATCTTTGAATTAATGGAAGCAATGTTGCAGCAGATCTATCTTCAACACTTGTTAAATATCCTTTTTTAGTCATTACATCATATGCTCCAAATATCCAGTGTTGTTTGACGACATGCCCGACATTATTCTTCCTTTTAAACATTAACGATTCATCAATTTCAACAACATGGTGAGGACCACCTAACTGTTTTCTATCAGGAACATCAATTATTTTGAAGGAACATATATCTTTAAAGTACTGGTACCATTGAACTGATGTATTTTTGAAAATACCAACTATATCACTGGCTGTACCGGGATCGAGTTCTACAGCCCTATCTGAAATATTTTTTTAAACCTTTTTTAACAATTTTTATATTGAAAATTATTGTTATTGTTTGTATATTGAAAGTTACATTTATATTTATTATTTACAAACATCGACTGATATAGGAATAGGCGCAGTGAGGGTACATACATCAATTAAGGGTTTTGGTATGGGCATACATTTATTAAATAAAATAAAAACGTTTACATCTTGTAGATTTTCTTGTCAAAAAGATTGAAAATAATATTAACATAGATGCAAGTAATATGTATAATCATTATAACAAAGAAATTTGTCAATTCTTCATTAGTTCTGGTATAAATACAGAATGCAGCATTGTTAATTTTAATACTAGAAATAGCCATGATTTTATTGTTGATTTTCTGTATCATTTTCCAGTGGGCACGTACGTAAAAAAGACGTCTTTTAAATGTCTTATACATGTTTTGGACGTCTTTTGAACGTCTTTTGAACGTTATGGACGTATTTTG